CGGCACAGCAGTCGTGGGCATGGCTCGGCACGCGGGGAGGGGATGGGCGCGGCGGGGCGCTCCCGGCCAGTGCGGCTCGGCACGGCGCACGGGGCTCCGCGGACCAGGGCGCGTGCGGGGACGGGCGGGGCGGGGCGCGGCTACCGGTGTAGAGCGGCGCAGCACGCGGGGATGGGCGGAGCTGGGCGCGGTCGGACGGCGCGCGGCTGGCTGCGGCGTCGGTGCTCAGGGCAGGGCGGCGCGACAGGCGATAGAGGCCCCGTTCGGCTTGCTGAAACTTGGCTGAATTGGCTGAAAATACTGTTCTTGCTAAATTGTTGTGAGAGAAAAATATTGTTCACGCTGAAAAAACAAGCTGAATAGTGCATATTATAAGGTAAGTCAAACGGGGCCATAGAGAGGGGTGAGAGAGAACGGGAGAGGAAGAGAAGAGAGGAAGGAAGAGAGAAAGAATACGGATCACCTGTAAGGCAGGATCGGCGCCAAGATCCTTGGCGCCGAGCCCGGCGCCAAGCTCGACGCCAAAATATGTAGCGCCCGTGCCTGCCAGGTCACCTTCACGTTTGCGTCGACGCCTACGTGGCCCCGAAACCTAGGCGCCAAATATGCTGGCGTCGAGACGTGTTAGCTCGGCGCCAATACCCTAGCGTCGAGCTAAGGGTCTATATTTTAAAAGCATACCTCTAGGGACATAGGGCATGTTCACTTGTCTGAATTGTAGAGGAATCTGGATGGTTTGGAGGAATGCTGGAGAAAATTATGAGAGAAAAACACGGTTCCGGATGAAAAAAAATAAGCGGATTAAGCCGGGTTTAAGGACACGCGAATGGCGCTATATTTGTGACAAACTTTTGAAAAAAGAGAGAAAAAACAAAAAATTCGGTCCTCTTCGCAGATTTTCCGTTGTTGCTGAGGGAATTTTCAGGTGCAACTACCGGCCGGCACGCGCGCCGAGGCTGGATCTAAAGCACTCTGCAGCCTGCGATGATCGCTGCGAACTTTTGATTCACTTGACGCATGGACCATGGTATCGTAACATCAAAATGCAATGATTACTTGATTAGTCTCTCAACTCTGAAGAGTGAAGAACTGAAGACAGTGACCAGCAGCTTCAGCTTCGCAGAGAAAGGGAACGGCGGAGTACATACGAGAGTTAGTAGAGAGGGGAAAACGGCATTTATGTCCTGAGTCGAGAACAAGTCAAGCTATACCAAATACGATTAGTAAAAGCACCGCAACGCAGCAAGGCGACGCAACCCTCCCCCTCATGGAGTCATGGTTGTTGCAAGGACGAGAACGAAACGAACGCACATATAAATCCAGGTCCAGCGGCACAAGGCTGTAGCACGGTCACCGGCCGGCGGTAAATGGCGTGGTCCAAGCCCAAGCGGCAAGCAGCTCGCTCACTGACAGCTTAAGAGCATGTGCTGACCTGAACAATGCTCACCGACACCATGACCACTAGAGTATGGATGAATGAAGATCCTTTTTTTAAAAAATCTTCCGGGTATGATTTTTTTGAAAATAAAATAAAATATATTGGTATAAATAAACCTACTAAAAGTTGAAGTTCCATCTATCATTAATAAAAAGTTATATACTTCAAGCAAAAAATCAGATGTGCATCACACAACGACTCCCTGTTCGCTTCGCTGAAAAACAAGCCGAAACTTCCGGCTGATTTGTTGTGACAGAAAAACATTATTCCGACTAAAAAAATCAGCTGAAAAAGACGAATTATAAGAGAAATGAACAGGTGGATAAGGCGCTGGTCTACGGAGCCAGAGATTCTGGGTTCAATCCCCAGTGGAGTTGTTTGTTTGTTTTCTTTCTTTTTTTTCCTTTTGCTTTCTTGGGTGTGTTCTATGAAGTGTTTTTTTTTCTTTTCTGCTGTGTGCCTTTTACCTGTGTGTCATTACGAAAAATGGTCCAGATCTACATGCTACTACAAAGTTTGAACGCACCTTGGTGCCATAACACTAATTTTCTTACCTCCCACGTCATTCCGTCCATATTTGCCTCTAACGGTGTCAAACCGCAGCAAAAAAATCGAAAATGCACTCAAGAATTTATTTTCTCATTTTCTTTTCTTCCTCACTTATTTTATTTTCTCCTTCTCCTCTATCCGATCGACTGGGCAGCTTCTGCACAGATCCGCGTGCCTCCGTGCTGTCGTGCGTCCGTGAACTGGTCAGCGCCCATGGGCCACGCCAGCATGGCCACCCCGACAGCGGCCTCCTCCAGCACCGAGTTCCAACCCACGGCGTGATGGCGCAGGACCTCCACCTGCGGCGCCCACCCGCGGATCACCGGCCCGCGCGACGTTGTGCCCGCCTCGAACCCGTCCGGCACCGTAGTGCCCGTCCTCGCCGCCCACACGAACACTGCCGAGCTCTGCGCCAGCGCATCCGGCGACAGTTCCGCAGAGCCCACATGAACGCAGTAGCTCCGCCGAGCCCACACGAACGTAGCCGAGTCCACATGAACGCGGCAGCTCCGCCACGGACGTCGCCTGCGCCGGTGACAACGCCTGCTGCGTCCCAAAGCTGACGTACACCACGGAGTCGTCCGGGAACGCGTCCAGCCACGCGGTCACCCGCGCTGCCGCCACCGCGGGCTTCCCACCGCGGTCGCCCCCCGACAACGTGGCCACGCTGCCGACGTCCGACAGCGGGCCCACCGCGAACACTTCATCGCCGGGCTGCATAGAGGGCGTGCGACATGGAGAGGTGGAGCGCACAAGAGGAGGAGAAGGTGACGTGTGGCACGCGTGGACCAGCGGCGCGAGCAGCGCGGCATTACCGGACGGGAATGCGACGGTGACCGCGAGGCCGCGCGCGCCGAGCAGCTCCTGGGCGGCGCTGACGCAGCCGAAGAGCTGACCGGTGAGGGCATTGGGCATCCAGAACCTCTGCTCCTTCCACCATGTCCGCAGCGCGATCCTCCACTTGTTAGCCTGCTACCGACGTTGTGGTGCGCGAGCACCAGGGCACCCACGCGCGCTACAATGGCTCCCGGCGGCAGTGGCCCATGGCGGCGACCACGACCCGGGGAACGGAGCGGCACACGCGCGGAGGAGAAGAAAGCGGAGCCGGCAGCGGTTTTGGTTGGGGCCGAGGACGTCTGCAGGCAGTGGAACACGGCGGCGCTGTGAGTTCTGCTCGCCGGCCATGGTGGTTGCGGCGGCGCTCTGTCGATCTCTATCCCTGAGCTGTAGGTAGGTAGTCCACGGAACCCCCTTGCCCTCCTCTCCCTCCCATGGTCTTGGATTAGAAAATGTTGAAGCTCCAGAGAGTTGCCATGGTGGTTGCGGCGGCGCTGCCGTGCCCCGTGACTCTACTCTCTCTCCTCCCCCTGTTGCGCGGCGAGTGGCGGCGTGGCCACGGCGGCTTCACTCGCTCACTCGTCCAGATTGATCGGAGCACGCGGTGGTGGGGGGCGCAGTCGGCGTCGGGGCGCACGGCCGGCGGTGGGGTGTGCGACCGAGATGCCGCAACCACGCTGGAGCTGGGCGAGGTTCATGGCGAAGTCCATGCGGGCTCTGGCGGCGTGGTCGCGTGGGCAGCGGGCTCCGACAGTGGGGCGCGTAGGGGGCATGGCTGGAGCCGAGGAGCCACACACGGCCGGCGGCGAGCTACGCGCGTCCAACATCGGGCTCGGGGTGGACTCGCCTCGCCGCATGCATCCGTCGCTGCCCTCGAGGTCGGCCACGCGCTGACGCTCGCGCAGGCCACGCCTACCGAGCCACCGTCGTAGGCCTGTTTTTGGATAAGATGGAGGTAGAGGAAGATGACAGGATGAGGGGAAGACAGTGACTAGGTCACTTACGGCTTGGCCCCACCGGCTAGAGAAAGAAGGGTATTCTAGGCATCGTCACTGGTCGGGCCCACATATCAGGGCTGTCAAACGGTGGAAACCTAACAGAAGGTGGACGAAATGGCGTGGAAGGCAAGAAAGTTTAGCGTCATGGCACAGCACCAGGGTGCGTTCAAACTTTTTAGTGGTCTGTGGGTCTGGAGCATCTTTCGTAACGGCACACAGGTAAAAGGCTCTTTTCCTTTTGCTTTCTTGGGTGTGTTCTACGGAGTAATTTTTTCTCTTTCCTGGGTGTGTTTGCAGTTGTGTTGTATGCCTGTATTTACCTGTCTAGTGTTCTACCGAGTAACAGTTCGTACGAGTTTACATTCTTATAAACCCTCAAACCTTACATATAATAGGCATATATAGCTTACAGTTACAGGGTTGCACAAGATATTTTCAGTTTGTGTACCTCCATTTTTCGGGGGGTTTTTTTTTTGGCTCTCCTGGGCGTGTTTGCATTTGTGTTTGTATTTACCAGTCCAGTGTTCTACCGAGTAACAATTTGTCCGAGCTTACATTCTTATAAACGCTCGGACCTTACATATAGGCATATATAGCTTACAGTTACAGAGTTGCACAAGTTATTTTCAGTTCATGTACCTTCATTTTTTCATGGTGTATTAACTCAAAAAAACCGAGGAGCAAGCTAACAAATTTTCAGTTCACTGTACCAACGCTATTAAAATCTGATCACGCTACTTTAGTGGCCACATTTAAGCATGTGCAGTCGTGACAACTAGAAGCCTAGAACCAAATCTGACAGTGAATGTGCCTATGCTAGAACCAACATTTGAGTTGAAAATAATGTTGCCTCGGCGGCACGTTTGGATTCCTCGCCGGTGCTCACTTTGCCTGGTTGAGCAAAGTTCATGGTGTTCGGTTCCTTAACTTGCTGCCTTGTTATCCATTGCTTTCAATATTTCTCCGCCTCGGCTGGCGAGGCTAGCTTTATCGAGCGAGGCCAGCAACACGGTGAGACATCCAAGCACACCTTTGCCGAAACTGTTCATACATGGTAACCAAATTATTTGACTGTTTTCGGGCACCACTGGAGTAATACAACATTCTCAGTTGGTAAAGTAACACACAATTATTAGAAAGAGTATTTCTAATGACCGATGCAACGGCTTAAGCCGTGTCTAGGACTTGGCAGGAGATGGCATTGTTGTTGTTGTGTAGATGGATTTCAGCTGCCTGTTTATGAGCTTGCTGTCATAGAGAGCCAGCTGCAGCTCCATGCCATCTGACCACCATTGCTGTAGCCCATGCGCCTCAAGGAACTTCTGCGGGCCTTTTGATGTCACAAAGAGCTTTGCGACCACATCACCAGCAATCTCACTTGCCTTGCGTTGTTGTTGCTGTTCATCAGAAGCACCATCTGTTGTTGTGGACGAGCAAGAGGGAGCGTTGTAGTGGCAACAGATGTAATCACTGTTGTTGACATACAAATGTGGCACCCATTTCTTCTCGGTGCGCAATCTCTTCTTGTCACTTGCCTCTGCCTTAGCAGTCTCAAGTGGTGTTGTTGTTTCTTCCTTCAATGGCAGACTTCCTTTGACTTTCTTCCACAGGTAGCTGGCCTTCTCACTCATGCTCCTTACACCCATGGCCAGTGAAACAGAAGGTGGATTGAAAAGATGACACTCCACAAAAACTCCTTGTTTGGCAAGCTCTTTGCAGACTTGAAGTGCAAAGCCAGCTCCCAAGGAGTGACCAGCAACACAAACATTGGCGCTGCCAAACTTCTCAACTGCTGATTTTAGTGCTGCTAAAGCACCAACAAATCTCACTGAACCTTTGAGGCTCTCCCATACCAAGAAACGAAGGTCATCCTGCAGGTCTCTCTTCATAGTTGGCTTCTGCAGGAGGGTTCCTCTGAGAGCTAACACAGCCCTTGGGGCCCCGCTTGGTCTTATGAGGATAAAGTCAGATAAGGCAGAAGAACGATCCCACTCCAGCATGGCGCCATAGATGGAACCATCTCTCTCATCCACCAATGTCTGTGTGACCTTGTACTTGAAGGGTTTCCACCATTTTGGAGCGAGGCCATCCTCTTGGCCTTTCTGGTCCTGCCTGTCCAGTTCAAGCAGGTAGACTGCTTGAATGAAGCAGGCCATTACCATCCTTTTGTAATTTGGATCCTTCCTGCAAATCAATTACAGCAAGAAAGAATGTTTAGGGGGGGGGGAAAGGTGCATCATGGCCTATGGGATACAAATCATACAATGGCATAAAGTCTAGTACAGATTTCAAATGGATTTTTTGGCATTGACATAAGGCTTGCCAGAAGCTGCCTTCCCCATACCAAGATTTTATTTTTGATTAATATTTTAAAATAACTCTCGTCAACTAAATTTTCAAAAACAGCCCATTTGGCCACTGAGGCCTATTGCATGGACAAAAAGGTTTGCCATGGAAACCATAGCTGGAATTGCTATGGAAACCATATCTGGAATTGTGCATAGACTTAATGGTGAAGTAAGAGCAGAAAGAATTCTGTAAATTGCTATGGAAACCATCACCCTGTTCGTCTGGGCTGGTTTGGCTTATAAGCCATGGCTGAAAGTATTATTGGCTGGTTTGGTGTGAGAGAAAAATACTATTCGTTGGCTGATAAGCCATGGCTTATAAGTCAGATACGACCAAGCGAACAGGCTGAGCTGGACACAGACTGTTATACAATAAAAGCGTGTGCACAGAAAACGTGTTTTGTACCCCCATGGACCCACGCACAGAACACGTTAGTTTCAGGAAACTTGAACCATTGTTCCTTGCTTTCTTGTTTTCTGATTTCCTCCAAGAAGGCTACAGCAAAACTTGAGCCACTGCTCACTGCTTTCTTGTTTTCTGTTTTCCTCCAAGAGAAGGCAGGAGCAGTGCCTTTGTTTCTTCCAATCAACCATAAGTTAACCTTGCTTGCAGGAATAGTAAACAATTCTGTTACTCCAAAAACTGCACACTAAGCACAAAATGGAAAAATTCCACAAAACTCAACTCTCGAAAAATTGTTTGCTGAACTGCAAACGGTGGCTAATCACCAGAATATTTATTGGGCCCTGTAAAAGGTGCAGCCACTTATGGGATAGTTTCTATACTTGTTATGTAGACACTACATAGAAACTAGTAAAATTCACAATGGATGGTTCCTTCAAAGTAAATGTTACCCAATCCCCTGTTTTATCTCTGGATCATCTACCATGCAACGGGATACTGCAAAATCACAATGTCGCTAGCTGAAAAGGTAATCCATTTTGCCGCATGCCGATTGAAGAACCTTCCATTCTCATTCAACCGCGAGCAGGGAAGGGGAATCGCGCAATCGGCCCCAGCATTCGTTTATCCCCTCCCGATCAAAAACCAAGGGAATGCCCGAAAAACAAGGTGCCAGCTGCAAGACCAAGCGACGGCCCCTGATCCAACTGAAACCTAGAAGCCCGCAGCTTGAACGAAACCACATATATACAAATAACCCGCCACCCGGATCTGGCCATCCAATCTTCATTCAGGAATGAAAAAAAAAGTAGGAGTACATGATTTCAAAGACACGGAAAGCGCGATCGCTTACCAGCTCGATCTGATTATCTCCTTCCAGTTGGGCGGCGGCAGGTTGCGCGGCCCGGATACGTGGAAATCGTAGGGGTGACCCTCCGCCTCCGCGTCCGCCGCGGCCACCACCACGGCGCCTCCGCCGCACCCTCCTCCTTCCACCTCCACCACCACCTCCTCGTCCTCCTCAACCGCCTTCACCTCCTCCGCCGCCGGAGCTGGAGCCGGGGGCAAGTCGATCGGCATCGCCACGGCGCAGGCCATACGCCCCCGCCCAAGCCCCTGCCCGGGCCCGTGCTCGCGGCGCGGGGTGGGGATGGCGATGGCGAGATGGAGAGCGCGTGCGCGGAGGGGGATCGGCAACGGTCGAACCGGCGTGGGGGCGAGGAATGTAGAGTGCGCGAGCGCGAGGATTCTCGGGTGCCAGGTGGGAGAGCGCGGCGGTGGGGTATTTGGGATCTGAGGAAGGGGACAGCGGCACAGCGCCCCAACGGTCATGTTTGGAAGCGGGGGGCGGCAACTGGGGGGTTTCATTACGGCAGGGTCAGAGGTTGTGTGGCTTAAGCGTGTTGCCAATGAGTATGCCTTCCTTGTTGGAAGGTGGCCCTTCTCCCTTTCCGTTCTCATTTCCGGCCGTGGTTTAAGAATTTTTCTTTTTTCATTGAAAAATAGTACTTCCTCCGTTTTAAATTACAAGATATTTTAATTTTTCTAGATATATACTATGTCTAGATACTTATAAGACGTTTGACTTTTCTTGATATACAATATTTCTACTACGTATCTAGACATAATGTATATTAAAAAAAGTCAAACCGTCTTATAATTTAGAATGAACGGAGTAGTACAGTGTACAAAGCTAGACTGAGCTTGGGTTGTTATATATATTCTCATCATTCCAAATTATAAGATATTATTCAGAAAAATTAAAATATCTTATAATTTGAGATAGAGGAAACTCAATAAAAGATCTATGGTTGTTGATTACCATTTTCTTCCTACCATGGTCCGGGAATTTTTCATTTTTTATTGAAAAATAGTACCAACCCAAATTAAGCCGGGTTATTATATAATTAGTAAAGGTTGTTTGGTTGTCCATTACAATTTTCCATGCTTAAGACTTAAGAGCATCTCCAAGAGTTTTTCTTAAACTCACTCTCTAAATCATCATTTGAAGAATCATTTAAATAAATATAACTCTACATCTTTCAACTCTCCAATGGTTTCTCTATATTTTGTTCGTACTCTAGAAAACTGGTCTCACTCTTCATCTTTGACTAGCTGAAAATCTGGAAGAGAGAATGACTATATTTGAAGATCTAGTTAAATAAACTATTAGAGGATATTTTTTCACCATAATATCTATTTCTATCAATTAAGAAAGATATAAAAAGGCTCTTAGAGTTGTTCTAAGTTCATCTTTAGGAGTCTTTCTTAAACTCACTCTATAAATAATCATTTGGAGAGCTATTTGAACATCGCTCTCTCTGTATCTTTCCATCATCCAACTGTTTATCTATACCTTATGTGCACTCTAGAGAGCTAGCCCCGCTCGCTATCTTTGGCAAGCGAGAAATCTGTAATACAAGATGACTATATTTGAAGATCTAATTAGAAAAAGTTGTTGGAGGGCATTTTTTAATCAAAGTCTCAATTCTTATCAACTAGGAAAAAATATAAAGAGGCTGTTGGAATTTCTCTAAAGTTAAGTAAAACCACACCTGTGGCTAGCCACATTCTATAGTAAAAATAGAGTGTTTGGTTGCTAATTAACGTGAGGCAAAATCAGTGTGGCTGCAACTTGGATTGCTCCGCCACAAAAATTTGGCAAAAACCTGTGGTAGCTGTTTGGATTGTTGTCATATGTTGGGAAAATCTTACAAGCACAAGATAAACTGGAGATTTCATGAAACAATACCGTTCTAGGAAAATGAAGTCTTACCAAATAGAAGGAGTATATGGGTTTGGTGAAACATTAACATTCTAGTAACACCCAGTTTAAATTACAAAATCAGCATCCAGCCAACTACATGACCTAGCCATTCTTCATGATCACACATGTTCATCGAACACCCAACGTCATCATAAGATTAATCCCATAGGTATGCCTTCTTTCTCACAAAAACTTGAAGACCCATGCATGTAGAGTATCAGGACTTGCGTTGCATAACTAGCCACAGTTACCTTCCTTTCTTTAGAAAGCAAATACTCGTCAACAAAAAAACCTCTAGTCAGACGTCATTGGAATTTCCTCAGTCTCTGCCATAGAGTTGCATGAGGGTTAGTAATAAGTGTGGCATTCCAGGAGCAGGATTTGCAGAAAATGCTTCCCGAAATGATTTCATCATAGTAGTGATTACATGCATTGGCAATAGTCCTATGTTTTTCTTGGGAGATCGAAGTAAATTAGACATATGATACACTAAGTTAAGAAAATAAAGGGTTTTAAATGAGAAAGTGGTAAGAAACAAAAAAAAAACTATTAAAATGGTTTGGTTGGTTAGAAATAGTTTGAGGTTCTCAATACAAAAACTATTTAGAAAGCTATTATAATAGACCGTTGAAAAAGGATAAAATTTAAATTTGTTATTTCCTCTGTTAACTTGCTAGATCTATTAGTTTAGCTAGTAATAAATTATATTAAATTTATGAGATGACCATATATATGTTTATTTTGAGACGGATGCAGCAAGCCCGAAACATGTCACGGGCATAGTGTAAGGGCATTTCCAATGCAGAAACTATCATAGTTTCTATAGACATTAATTGTACTGCTACCTAAGTGTTTTGCTGATATGGCAAGATAGTTATTGAAGAGAAAGAGCAAAAATCATAGAAACCGGGTCTAAGTTAGAAACCATGTCTACATGAGAACCAAGACACGAAGGAATATGATTGGTAGAGAATGGAGAGAGAATGTACGTGATTGGATAGAAACTATCTATTGGGACTATGATTTTTATATGTAGTGTCTATAAAAATTAATAGATATAGAAACTACATAGTATTGGAAATCTCGAGATTTGCCGGCTCAATCATTCGGAGATGCTCATAGAGGTAGGGTTTATATATGTGTGTTTATAGGGGTGTGTGCGTGCGTAGTGGGAGCGTCTACACTGTTCTGTGTAATTAAAAAAACACGTCGGCCTACATTTCGAGCTTCTGGAAGTGAATTCCTTCTGTAGGATCAGCTCGGACGATCAGGCCCTGGTTAGCACAAACTTGACTCTTACTGGCCCAAGTGGCATAATCCGTAATAGGCCCAGTAGGCCTCATCTGGCGGACTGGTTTCGGACTTTGAGGCTGGTGTTCGAGCCCGGACAGGATAGATTTGGTTTGCTTGACAATACAGATTAGTTTCCTTGCCAATATATACTCCGCATCCCCCCACCCCCGCAACTTGCAACGCCCCCGGACACCGGACCCCGGATCGATTTTTTTTTAATTTTAACACTTTTTTAAATTAATTTTAAATCTAACATTGTTTTTTTTAAACTAATATTTTTAGCCGCGCCTATTGTCATAGCGCGGCGAAACGCCTGTGCCGCGCCATGCATGGCAGCCCCGGTAGGAGGATAACGTGGCGACGACCGGGTTGCTTGACCGGTGACGTGGCAAGGTCCACCGCGCCACCAATCTTGGCGCGGCATTGCCGCGCCATCCCTAACGGCGTGGCAGTCTCAGATAAATATCGCCTGCGAGCCACCCCCTCCTCTGTCACACTTTGCCACGCAGCTTACTTCCGCGCCGCCGCCCGCCGCCATACGCCACGCCAATGGCGCCGTTGCCGCCCTTACCACACCCCCCCCCGCCCCAGTACTCCGCGCTTGGCAGCGCCATTTAACTGCCGGTGCATCACGGCCGTCGGCCGCCCGCTCATATCAAGGTATCTCCCTCTCTCAATTTCATATTATTATGATTGTTGTTTTAGTTATGATTGGTGATTTAGGATAGTTAGGTTAGTGAATTTGTTTATTTAGGTAGGTAGTTTTTAGGGTTTAAGTTGTGTGTTGTAGTATAGTTAAGGTTTGGTTAGGTAGTTAGGGTTTAGGTTACTGTTAGTTAGGATTTTGAATTTAGGGATTGATTAGGTATTTATTATTTAGTTAGTTTAGAGTAGTAAAGGTTGTCGGTATAGATACTAGTTTTCAAGTGTCGGTACTTAGTAGTGCATGATACGGCGATTTGGATGATTTGATGAAGTTTTGTTAAATGCTTATTTTCCTAGTGAAGTTGTTTAATATGTCTGTTAATGTTACTTTGAATATATACATGTGCTTTCATATTGTGTTTGTATTGCATAACAAGTAGTTCAAATTTTATAATGCTACATAATGTTAATTTGAATATTGTTAATTTGAGTACTTTAACCCTTTGTTTATCAATTTGTAACAGGATGGCCCTTCCCGCGCAACACCCGTTGTATCCCCTTCTTGAGGTGGAATACGACGACCAGCACCGAGCACACATCTTGAGTGACACTGACGCAGAGGTGGCCTTGCCTCCTTTGAGGCCTCGCACGCACACCAGGGCGCACCAGTGGGACAAGCATTACGCGCCATACATATGGCGTGACGGCTTCCTCGAGCTTGTTCGTGTTGTCAACTACGGTCTTCCGCCCCTTGACCTAGCACTACTTACTGCAGTTGTAGACAGGTGTGAGTGCCTTCTTTGTATGTAAACATTCTTATAACAAATTTGAGGCAACAAACAGACATTCTATTCTTATAACAGGTGGAGGCCCGAGACCCACATGTTCCACCTACCTTGTGGCGAGATGACCTTGACCATGCAGGACGTGAAGGCTATCTTTGGCCTTCGGTTGGGAGAACTTCCAGTGACAGGTATAGTTGACAACGATCACTGGAGGGAGTTGGTGGCTCAATTCACTGGCTTTCTTCCACCGGACGACGAGGTTTTCAAGAAAAATAAGTTAGCAATTTAAGCCTATTTAATACTTGCATTGCTTTCCTACAGCCATTGGATCTTATTTTCTTTGGTGAATTTCAGGAAAAGTTCCGGTGTTTCGTCGTCCTGGATCACAGAGCGCTTTAATTACTTGGACCCACAGGCTGATGAGGCTCAGATCGACAGGTTCGCTAGAGTGTGGCTCTGGCACTTTCTTAGTGCTTTCCTATTCCCAGACGCCTCGGGCAATACCATCAGCTGGATCTTTCTTGACATACTATGCCAGCCGTGGAAAAACATAGCGGCGTACAGCTGGGGCAGCGCAGTCCTAGCATGGACGTATCGATAGCTATGCATTGCCTGCCGTCGCACCTCAGGGTATGCGAACCTTAGGGGTTGCTGCTACCTACTCTAGGTTTGGTGTTGGGAACGATGGCCCGTTGGGAGGCCCCTTAATACTGGTTTACCGGTAAGTACTTCGGTTCACTATATTCTTTGAGGCAGTTACACATGATGAAATTATTAATGACTAATTCATTATCATGTTCAATATAGTAATGGAACGGGCATGATACACTCCCTACAGCTCTGTATATCTGGACGGAAGCAGAGTTAGTTAGAGGGAATACGAGGCGCAAGTACAGGGAGTACACGGACGGTCTCGACGTCCTAACACAGCACCATGTTATGCTCTCTTTACTATCATACATATGTCTTGTTTGATGTACACTATATCACAACCTAACTTAATTACGAAATGTTCAGGTGCATTGGTGTCCTTGAGATGCTCTAGAGCTCGAGTACTATCTGAGTCCTGTCACTAGGGATGAGTCTGACGAGTATCGCTGCAACGTCACTCTTATTTTCTTCCACGTGGTTGAGACTCACTTGCCCATGAGGGTTTGCAGGCAGTTTGAAAGAATGACAGGCTACCCATCACCGCTTTAATCCACCAACCAAGAATTGCATAGGTGCGTTATCGATTAATAATAAAGCTACAATTCATAGGTGTGTGTGGTACAACTAACATTGTTTTATTGCAGGTATGACCGTAGAAAGAGGTACAAGACCAAGGATTGACGCGTGACACACAACGCGCACATCTAGTTGTGGCAGAACAGGGACAGGCAGCCGGTCCATGCGGATCCCCACACGACCAGCACACCTTCGATGAGTAACTGCGGTGGCTTCACAGGTCTACGAGGACACATATCAAGCCCCCGTACACTGAGGAGGTGATTGACGAGGACTCAGAGAAAGATGTGATCGAAGATGTGTATGACGTTGCCACTAGGGCCGACACACAACTACAGAGAGCCCCGCTTCAAAGATACGTGGTAAGATACTCGAATGGTACAATTTGTTATCCATTTGGTATTAAGTATGTGTATTAAAACTGTCCAACCGCGTTTCTGTACCTAGACGACACAATTGTTAAGGATGTCCAACAAAGCAGCGTTTCAGTTTCACGAGTTTAGAGGGCAGGGGCCAGGCGTTCTCGAGGCTTTTGTGGAGGTAAATATAAACTTATCCGTTCTGAAAATGTTTCTTTAGTGTATATGCGTTTGGGAAATACACTAACTTTAACGTCTATTTATGCAGAAGGTGAAGCGGAGCTACAGGAAGCTAGCTCAGAAGCTGAGCTGCATGGATGCCTTCTGGCTCTTTGAGGACATCAGTCGGCTCTTCTCAGCCGGTGACAGGTGCCACTTTCGCAGTGCATACACCACCACATCATAGCGTTGGGAAGGCCCCTGCAAACAAGGACGACGACGATGACCCCTCGGGCTTCCGCAGATAGCACCACCAGTGGGACAATTGGCCGCAGGATGAGATCGACATATATCAACTAGGTGGTGCCCCGCTTGATACCCAAAGAGATTCACATGTAGTAACAAAGGTAGTTTCTTTAAATACGTAGGCTCCATGAACTAACGATCATAAAGATTATAAGTAATCGTGCATATTATATACTTGCAGCAGACAACGCGACCGCACCGACGTTGGCTATACTTCCAATATGTTGCCAACAAATCCGAAGAGACAGAGACGTCCGAGGGATCCTTAGACTCCTGGGTCTTAGTTTGTTAGGTCCAACGAATATTGTCATTCGAAACTTGCAGGCTTAGTTGGTTATGTTATATCGAACTTATGTCGAACCAATAAAAATGTTATGTGGCAGCTTGTCAACTTGCGCACGGAGTTCATTTATTTGCTTCATATTCATTTCAATGCGTCGCGGCAGCACTGCCAGCGAGATTAACTAGCAACTAGTTCGGGAACCGACAGTCCCGGCGTATCTCGCCGCCGGTGGCCGGCGTCTTGACCCCGATCCTCCCGAGCTTGGTCATCGCCGCCACGAAATCGCCGAAGAAGGCACTCTAGTTGGACGCGCAGTAGTCGACCGTGCTGCGCGACCTCATGTCGGACTAGAGCACCTGCTCGGAGCCCATCGGCGAGGGGCGAGGAAGACGAAGGCGTTGGGGTCGGAGCTGCAGGTGCCGTTTAGCTGCGACGCGAAGTCGGGGTCTATGGTCGCGTCGCTGCCGATCCTCACCGACAGCGGCCGATCTTCTGTCTGTGTCCTGGTCCTGGCCGTGGGACTTGGCGCGGCAGTGCCGCGCCGTGATCTATGGCGCGGCAGACCCTGCTACGTCACCGGTCAGCAGCCTCAGTCGTCGCCACGTCATCCTCCCGCCGCGCCACCATGCATGACGCGGCACAAGCGTTTCGCCACGCCATGGCAATAGACGCGGCTAAAATTGTTAGTTTTGAAAAAAAAAATTCGTTTAAAAAAGTGTTAAAAAAAATCCGCGGATCCATCCCACCAATCCTTCTCCCCTCCGAGCCTCCGTTCCGACTCCCCGCCGCCCCCGCAAGCGCCGCCGCCGTCACGTGGGGGCCTCGGCCGGGGAGGGCCCCGATCGTTTCTCCCACCTCACCGAGGACCTCCTCCGCAGCATCCTCAACTGCCTCCCGACCCGCTCCGCCGCCAGGCTCGCCGCCGTATCCCGCCACTTCCGCAACGAGGTCTCCCGGCTCCTCGAACGCGTTGAATCGCTCACCCTCCACGAGCCCCACTTCCCGGACCCTCTGCGGATCACCCCGCCGATCCTCATCCGCCGCCTCGCCCTCGCCCCGCACCGCGCCATCCCGCCCTCGTCTTTCCGCCCCATCATCGAAGACGCCGCCCTGCACGGCGTCTCCGAGCTCTCCTTCCGCCTCACCCGCCGCACGCGGTTGCCCAAGAACGTGCTCACCGTGAAATCCCTCCTCGTGCTCGCGCTCGACACCTGCGCCGTGCCTCCGTGGTCCGACGTCAGCTGCCCCTGCCTCCGCACGCTCAGGCTCCACCGCGTCGCCATCCACCAGGATAACATCAACAAAATCCTCGCCTCCGCGTCATGCCTCGAGACGCTCGAGATGGAGTACTGCACGGGGCACGGCGCGGGCAAGGGCTGCACGGTGGAGTCGTCCTCCGTGAAGAACCTCGTGTTCAGGCCGACGCTGAAGCTGGAGGGGACCGTGATTAGAGCGTCGAGGCTCAGGGTGCTCACGCTGTACACGCGGAGTAGGGCGAAGAGTCTGGAGCTGGCTCCTGCGCCAGAGATCAGGAAGGTGTACTTGCACATCTCCAAATCAAAGAGTATGAAGAAGTCAATGGAGTCATTCAGGGTTCGGGCGTTCCTGGATGCTGCCCTGAAGCTGGAGTGCCTCACGCTCAGAGGCCACGCCATGAAGGTGAGCTCGATCTCTTGCATCTTACGTTAACTTAACTGCTACGAGTACTTGCTTGCTGGTTTGTGTTCTGTGCAATGTTTGGGTAGCCACTATCAACAAGAACCCTCTTCATGATTGTGTTTGATGGAAGCATAAATTTGGTATGTGTTGCATGACATCAGGAAGAAGCAAAAGTTGGCAGTAGGCAACATTTTCGGGCTTGTTCGCTTGTCTTAAATTTGGCTTGTTCGGCTCGTTTTTTCAGCCGGAACAGTATTTTTCTCTCACAACAATTCAGCCGGAACAGTGTTTTTCGTTTGTATAGTTTTATGAGCATGTGCTTCTATAGCACAACCTTATGCTCAGATTAATCATAATTCATAAGAGTTCAGACCTTGAAATCAACTAGACATGTGCATTAGGAAGGACAGAGCATTCAATCTTGAGCCTTAGAGCAGGATTGACATCATAATTTCGTGGTTGCATGGAATTATCTTAGCTAGAACTGTTATAATGTAGACTCGATGCTTAAAACCCCCCATTTAAATGCTCTGTGAGAGATCAATTGCTAGAATCACCTGAGAGATCAAGTGCTCTGAGATTGTCTTAACCTGGTTAACAATGCCAATTGCTCTGTGAGAGATCACTTTTTGGTTGCCATGTTAGACTGTTAGAAGAACATGTAATAGGGTGGCTCATGCTTTCGCAAGATCTTTGGAACTTGAGGTCAGTGCTGTTTGGGTTGATGTGGTGCCAGAGTTCATCTGGTCAGTTGTTTATCATGCTCTAAATGTTTCAGTTTAATAAAAAAGCTGCCCTTTACATAAAAAATGCACAATGCTAATGACTCATGTGATTAAACAATGTCAATATGAAAAGAAAGCATTAAAACTTAAAAGAAGCAAGGGACTGCAAGACAATGGCTGGAGCAGGCGATTAGTGTTTATGTGCCATCATCAACAAATGGGCCTTTGAGGCAAACATTTTAGTTCGTCATTTCTTATGTTTTGTGCTTATCTGGGGTTCTGGGAAAACACAGTGAATCATAGTGTTTATATCGTGAAATTAAGTAAACATGCTACAAATATTGTTGAAAGACTTTTTTCTAGGAAGGACAGGGCATTTAACCTTGAGCTTTAGAATACAGTTATATCTCCTAATTTCTTGGTTGCAATTTAGTATGATCTATTTATGCTAAATAGGTGCCAAAATGCATGATGCAGGTAAGCTAACATGCTTCATTGTGATTTATTGGTATGGTAAAAGTTCAAAGTTTTAAGCAATGTGGATTCTGGCACAACAAAAAGTAATCTAGCATATATGTAGTTTATAGCATACAGTACTTGTGAGTATGAATTTATGTCATATGTTGGATGTCTTGATATTATTGCAGGTATTGTCATATGAATATGAGAAAAATCCTAAGTTGACGGTTATGTTTCAAGACTTGAGGATTCTATCAGTGAGCTTGAATATCTCAAGTGAACAAGAACCTGTTTTCCTGCTGAAGCTTCTTGAGAGCTGCCCTAACCTACAAAAATTCACTCTTTCGGTACCTAACACCAGCCTTCTTATTTACATTAGAACCTTATCATCTCAAGTTTCATCTTGTGGTTTATCACTAACACACCTTCCTTCTGTACTAGGCTGCTGAAACAGACAATGGCAGTGATTTGCCCCGTTTCACTGATCACAAGGATAGGCTGCCAAGTATATCTTGCCTGACTTCCAGCTTGGAGCAGTTCAAGTTTCTTGGGTTCAAGCCTCAAGAATATCAAAGGGAACTGATTGTTTATCTGCTAACCGTAGCAAAGCAACTGAAGAAGGTGGGGGTGGAGTTTGACAAGCGCCAATTAGCTGCTGTGAAACAGATTCTGTCAGTTAGGACATCCCCGATGAGAGGACATCTACAAAGTACAAGAGAAACTACTACTTGGAGTTGGAGTACTCCTGATAGAGTTAGTATATATAGCTTTAAGGGTTTGAGCCTCTGATTGGCGATATTTTTTTCCCACCACGGCAAAGCCGAATTTCATTACTGACCAACGAAATTACAAGAGTGACCAATAAATTGCTTTGGTGTTAGATCAAACTTATCGTACTTTTTATTGCTTCGTGTGGCATCGTGTAATCTTTGCAACAGTTCATACATTGGAACGTCCCACTACACAAACACTCGAAATACATTCGTGCCGCAAACTGAATTTTCCGTAATGCCGTCGAAATACATTCGTGCCGCAAACTGAATTTTCCGTAATGCCGTGGTACGAAGGAATATCGGTCTTTGCTGCCACGATACAAAAGACTGGAATCAGTCACTAGGAGGAAGCTCTGCCATAGACCGTGTTCTCATATTTGCCGCTCCACCTGCACGTTGTCGATGTCAAATGCGCAGCTATCTAGGTAGGATCCATGAGTGATGTGGGAGACGGAAATTTGAGGCAAGTCACAGCCCACCTGTTGGAATCATCAGATGGGACCTGAAGCTCCTGCTCCGAACTGAACGGCTGGAACACACGGTCAATGTCCTCGTTCTTCACCTCCTCAAGGGTAGTGGGATTCCACTGCGGCATCATAGATAGAGAAGTTAAAAGAGAGAGAGAGAGCATGGCAGCGATATACATATATTATTGAGCTACAGAAAGGAAGGAGAAAGAGAGGAACCTTAGGGGCATTGTCTTTATCAATGCTAAGAGCTCTAATGCCCTGTCGTAAAATCAAATTGAAAATGTCAGTGGCCAAGTTCAAAACTCATTTTTAAGGCAACCGCAGTTCATTAGTACGACCTCCATACCTCATAAACATCCCCATTAACAACAGACCGCAGTATATTCATTGTAAGCCTAAATTCCTTAGTCAAACATTCAGGCAAACTCTGTTTCCGACCTTCTCTGATCTGAAAGTTTTAAATCATCAAGGAAACTAGAGCTTAACTTCTGGAACGAAAACTCATGTAGACACTGTACTGCATAATTACATAAATATAAAATAGTAGTTTTCAATAAAGCAGGTGGTCATGGAGGGGGGGGGGCTGGGCTGCAGTAGTTTTCACATTAGACAAGCAAAAACATAGAGGTTGACAGGCTAAATTCCATTAGGTTAACAATAATGTGAGAGATTGTACCGAACTCAGGGTGATCTTCAGTGCAGTTGGAGATGATCTTCTCAGACCCTTCAGAACTGGAGCTATCCATTGGTTTCCGTCTATGCTCGCTTCTGATTCCTACAGCAGCGAAAATTAAAGTGTTTTGATTAATGATACACATACGCTGCAAAGTAGAGAATTGCCTTGTTACAGAGATGGTTTGATGCTACAACAAAGGATGAATGTATCTTAGGTGCTGGAAAAAAATTGGTAGCTCATTATACCAGGTTTTAGTTTCGTTTTATTAATATACGTCGAGTCACTTTCAAATTATACCAGGTTTTCATTTGAAATCAGGATTGAGGTATGCAGCCCTTTTGTTGTTTTGCAGAAAAATGCCAACTTCAAGGTCAAGTGAACCATGGCATATTACAGAATGTAGAATAAACAGTAGCTAACACATCAGTTATCACCAATAGTATGAGAAACTGATGAAAATCTCACAGCATAAAGTGGGATGGCATGAGTGTTGAATCCTTACAAATGTTTTTATGATGTCCTCAACAGTCTCCGCAGAGAAGCATTTGTTGATAATTGAAAGCCTATCAAAGAAAGATTTAGATATCAATGTCAGTTTATTTTCAGTATATGCAGGATAATTATCTTATATGTGTAACAAGTTCTATCTTAAATAATCATCAAATTCAGTACTTGTTCAAAATACTATCTTCATCAGGTTGAACATCTGTTGAAAATTCTTCAATAACAGCTCGGACTGCAGACTCATCACCTGTGTCCAAATCCAGTAGACGTTTTTCAAGTTCTTCCAATTTCTGCCATAAATATCACAAGTGCTTTGATTAGTAAAACTACAGGCAACCACTATCAACAAGCAGTCTGACAGTCCCTACTCCCAAGTCTCCAGTTGCAAATGCAACCAAGTGGACACTAGTGAGAAAAACAAATAGAAGTAGAAATGCTAGCTGCTGAATGTCTTACTTCGGAACTGACAAAATGAGTTGCAAGACCAGCAGAAATCATTTCCTTCGCATTCAGTCTATCACCAGTTAAAGCCAGATACTCGCCTGATAGCTCAAAAGAAGACAAATCGTCATGATTCATGAGATGCATCATAAATATGTCGCACAGTCCAATATTTGATTTTTTTATTTTAAAAAACAGGACTCTACATTTGATTTGCAATTGCCAGTTTTTTCATTATAACATTTCTGCAATAAAGTCATGCATACTTTTTTATGTATGAAAATTTATAAAATAACAATTACCTAAATATCCAGGCAGCCGAGAATGGATGTAGGAAAAGCTACAATCTGTGTGCAATCCAACACTAGCCTCAGGAGTAGCAAAGATCTACCAAAAAGAGAAGGAGAAGATAAGCTGATCACTGTTAGAATCTCCAAAAGGATTCAGAACCACATTTAGAGGCAATCAAGTGGATAACCTTTCAATATTAAAAAACTTGGTAAAATAATGCTCATATACTGTTTACATAACAAAAGATCATATGATGAATAGCTGCACAAGAGTACAGGTTTTATCATGAGCAATGCAATGAAGATAATACATGTACAAGAGTTAAGGTAAATTAGATTATAAATAATATAGCCTCAAAAGTGTATTGTTGGCACATACTGTTTTCTCTGTGACAACTGCAAACTTTAGTGGTGCAACCATAGCAGCACCACCACCCATGACAAGCCCATTAACAAGAGCAATCTACACGAACATAGGATAGTAGAGTTTCAGTACATTATTTTCTTCAGAAAGATGAATGGTTCTCTGGCAATCATATACCGTTGTTTTCTTGTACGTATGAATGTGGTAGCAAAGCCAATACATTCTATACACAACCTCGAGGCAGGAATCATCTGCAAAAGCAGTATTTGTAGCTCCAATCCTAAGTGACATGATTTATTGTACGCAAATGCACATCATGGTAATAGAAATCAATTTAGCTAGTAAGAAATTGAAATGATTTGACGGCAATGCCATGCAATTGTTCTGCAATGTCCATACTTGATTTCCCTTCATAAAACATTTTTAGGTCCCCACCAGCAGAAAATGCACGTCCAGCTCCCTATTCAAAATCAAACATCAGTACATAGCATGATAACATTTGTCTACCCGGAACTTCTGACAACTGCTGAATGTATAAAAATAGATCAATAGCAAATCTTCTTTCACAGCAAGATGGATCACTCTCACTCACGTCAACTGAATATGTTGATGCCCTTGCCAACTTGCTGAACAAAATATTTGATGGTAACGAAATTGTTGCACATTACATTAGATGGTCAGACATTTTAAGTGACAAACTTTCTTCACTGTAGCATATTCATTGTTGCAGATGGTAAAGAACAGACAACTTTCTTGGTTCTCACAATTTTAACAATGCACACCTAAACCGACCTTGGTCCATACCGTCCTACCTAGAGCAGTATAGCAGCTACTAGTCTACAAGTGTCCATATGCTAATGCAATGGTGCTACCATATATGCTGTGGCAACAATTACTAGCGCCGAATGTTGGCAAAATACCATTTCATATTATATTTATAATGGAAGGTACGCACCTTAAAGATGACTAATTTGGCGTTCTCATCCTTCTCCCATTTCTCCAGGAACTGCGCCAGGAGGTACACCTACAAGCAGAAACCACGCGCACACAATCGAACCACAAGAAACTTCTACTTCAAGAACCAGGAAACGAGGCAAGGAGCCACACCACTCTGTCCGAGATGCCGTTGAGCTGGCGCGGGCGGTTGAGAGTGATCACCCTCGCGCCCCCGGCCTCCTGTCCGAGGACCACCTGCACCAGCAGAGCACGGGGCCATGCTCCCCTTAGGTTAGCTGATCAAGCCCAATTGGGACGCAGCGGCAGTCGAAGGCAAGAGATTTGGTGTGCAATCAGTCAGCTGTATCGATCGGTGGTACCTCCTCGGGATTTGTTTGCTGCTGAGCCATGGTCGACTGAAGCTTGAGGTTCCCTCCTAGGCTCCTACGTGCGTATTGGTGTTGCGACACAAGGTGAGAAGCTGAGAAGAATTTGTTGGCGGTGGAGGTGAATGGTGGCCTGGTGGACGGGGTGTTGGGGGTGTTTGGTGTGTGTAGGTCAGTGTGGTGGTGGAGAGAGGAGGGGTAGGTAGTGTGGAAGGGTGAGCTCGCGAGTCGCGAGTCGCAGATGGCGGCATGGAGCAGGTTTGCAGAAGTCGGGCGGGGGTAGGTGCCGCTTGGCCTCAGAAATCGCAGACTCGCAGGCTGGCAGTGGCAGTGCTCCTGCCCCCTTTTTTTCAGAAAAAAGGTCTTTTCTTTTCTTTTCTTTTCTTGAGACGATAGTCTAAACTGATTTGAGTAATCCCATTTGACATCAGCATTTTAGGCCTCATTTGAAATGCAGGATTCTCCAAACACACGATTGAAGTTACACAAAACTTGTAATTCCGCAAGAATCTATGTGCAGGAAATTTTCCACAGAGTAATATAGTCTTTAGATGAAACACAAGAAAAATTATAGGGATCAGAAGAGAGGAGACAGTTAGACACAAGGCAAAGTTTCCATGAGATCCAACCTCATATTAGTTTTTCTCCAAAATTTCTATGTTTTCTTGCATCCCCTAACAATCCTAAAGAATTTTATAGTGTTCAATCTTTTGTTCCATCTTCAGGTTAACAACTGTCACATTAGCAAAAGGGTCTATAATCTAGTGGTTACAAAGAGCCCTAGTAGAACCTCATGTCAGAGTGACTGTGAGTGCAAGGCAGAGAAAACTAAAACCCTAGGGGGCCGGTAATGACAATTCTCTGGGCCAGCGTGTTCATATTTTATGGGCTCCCAGCCAAGCGTGTGATAGTCCACCGTACATAAATTTTCTGTTGTTTTTCATCTTTATATGATCTGATAGATATATTTTAAAGTGGAAAATAAATTTAATTGCTCTTGTTCATAGCAGAAATTCAGTACACTAGAGACAGTAGCAAATTTTTTTAGTAATGTTAATATAGCACTCGCATAACTTCACAATGTCCTGGCTTACCAAGAGCAAGGCACGCTACTTCTGCTTGCAAAGATCCCACGGACGGAATGATACATAGAGCTACATTGCTGTAGCCGCATTTCACGCAATCATTGTACATGTTCCAATCCCGCCTGGGGAGGTCTGGATTCTGAAACATTACAAACACAGCAAGTTACAGGGTTCAGGCATGGGGCACAATCGTCCTGAACGAGGAGCAACTCATAGTTACAGGGAAAGTGGGACGGGGCCACAAATCACTTACAACAATTAAGTACACCCCTGAGGACAAGTACAGAGAAGTTCATAGTTCGGAATTCAGACCAAGTTGTTTATGTTAAACATCTACACTCCCTCTGGTCATAACTTGACACATTTGATTTTGCACGGTCCTCAATGGTATTTTTTACTACTATTTTTCTAAAAATATATTCTTAAATTCCTACAGATATAAGAGATTTTGCAGGTATTTCAAATGCAGACCAACACATAGACCTACATGGTTCCAAAGTAAATAATATACTCCCTTTATCCCAAATTATGTCATTCTGACTTTTCAAAATATATAGCTTTTACTATATACCTAGACATAATTTATATCCAGATACATAGCAAAAGTTATGTATCTAGAAAAGCCAGAACGATTTACAATTTGAAACAAAAGGAATAGATATTTGTAGTTTTTAATGTTTGACCATATCTGTCCTAAATGACAAGTTTCTGTGACCAGGGGGGAGTTGGGAGTGCATAGTTAGTTTTCCTAGCCAACAAAGTTCAGAACAGCAGATGGACCTCGCGATTTAAAGAGGATAACGTGCAGGTCCCTCCATCCCATCTCTGATTCTCCATCATCCCCGGATGCTCTAATATTTGCAAATGAGCACCGATCTATCGTCTTTGTATATTACTACTGCTCAGCTAACCTGTAGAAAGCACAATTTCGTTAGTGAGTTTGGTTTTGCTTCCAACAAAACTAGGTACATCACAATGCATCAATACAGAATTATTGCTCAATTCTCACAGCAGCTTTTAACAAGTCCATAAAACAAAGGCTGGAACTGAAGATGGAACAAGCTGCAAGCTTACTAGTCCTAAACATTTAGGCCCTGTTTGCTAGGCCAGATCTGGACAATCTGAGGAGGTGCAACAACCTGTGTTTGGTTGGTGTGTGAATCAGAGCTTGGTTCACTGCAGCCGATGTTTGTTTGGCTACATGAGCTGTGGGCCATAGCTCAAAAGCAACAGCTGAGCGCCCTTTTGGCCCAACTGATGCGAGCGCAAGCCGAGCCCAGAGAAACAAATTTCATTTCCGTTTCCCCGGGTGCAGGCTTTTGGCTGCTTTAAGCAATGCCAGCCTGGCCCTCGAGGCTCTCCAGCCTACCAAACACGAGAAGCTGAAGCCAGTCAGCCAGGCCCAGCGCTCGTGCAGACCAAACAGGCCCTTAGTAGATGGAACAGACATGCTAGTCAACACAACAAGTCTAATACAAAAGTACTCAAGTTTATAATGTTTAGGTGCAAAGATATCTGAAAAGGCAATGAAAGTTTTGAACCCATACCCTTTCTAAGTTTTAATCACTTCTACAGCTCTGAATTATGGCAAATGGCTAGAGCCATTGAAGGGAAACACAGGGACCAAAGTTTACTTACGTTTCAAAATATGCTGTCTCCTGCGTGTTCTAGTGCGACGCCGAGCAATGCAGAAAGCAAAAATGCATACAAGAAGGCCCAGCTCAAAAACTAGGGCCATTCTTAATCCTGCGTTCATGTAAATATTGAAACAACAAGGACGCAAATTGTATCCTGTAACAGCAACAAGTAAATCTTACATAGTAATGGCCAATACCTCTTATCTTCTGGACAAGGTCTTTGCTGTTGTTGTTCTGGATGTGGTCTTCCATAGCAATTGCATGTTTACCCATAAACTCGTTAGTAGCATCTAAATGTGTTACTGAGAGGTCACCGCCACCATCAGCAGCCTCAGCAATATCCTTTATATTTCTACACGTGTTCTGACAATGGATCCCACTTTCGTACTCATCACTTCCATCACAACAATCTATAGAACATACACAATCTGTCAAGAGTTCTGGTATCCACAAAGGAATAAATGCAGTAACTAGCTGCAGATGTTAGAAAAGACAGCTCAAAAGAGAAAAAAAAAACTTCCAAACTCTTGCAGTTAACTTCTTTAGTCTATAAACAAGTAGCATACTGCATATTTTGTCATTCACAAACGAAGAGAACAACAGTCGAGGGGTATCTCCGGTATTTCTGCAGTAAAACTTGCCTTCTGGACAAGCTAAAGTACCTAAAGGGCGTACCCAGTGCAGAGAGCTCCAGCTCTGTGCGGGGTCTAGGGAAGGGTGTCAGCGGCAAGCCTTACCCTCACCTGTGCAATGCGAGGAGACCGTGACTCAAACCCGAGACCTTTCGGTCAGCACCTACATAAAACAAATAATGTGAAAAATAGAGTTACAATGGAGGATACCTTAGACTGTCTCCAATAAGGAGACCTAAACCCAAATATAGGTGTCGCACAGTTCTTTTGCCTATCAAAATCAGACTCCAACGGACGCCCCAAACACCGTACCCATTTTGCCTACCGGCGCAAAGGATACGCAAAAATGCATCACGATTCCTCGCTACGCAAATCTCTGTCCTCGCCCGCTCCCTGCACCCTCTCCGTCCTCGCTCGCTCCGCGCGCCCGCGGCGGCCGTGGCGGAGCTCGCCCGCGCCCGCGCCAGCCGGGGCCGAGCGCGCCCGCGGCGGCCGGGGCCGAGCTCGCCCGCGCGCGCCCGTTCCGGTGCTCTGCGGCTTCCTTGGTTTCATCTTCGTGAGCTCCGGCGGCTTCATCTTCTTTTTGCGTTTGCTGTTGGAGTTAGGGATTTTTTGGGTGTGGTTTTCTTTTCCTGTGCGTGACCCATACGGTGAAATTTGGGTCGGCTCTGTTGGAGATAGTCTTACACATTGATGTTAGCACCCCATAAAAGAAATGGCCACGTTTCAGCAGTAGAATTTTCATCAGGTGAGGCAGCAAGGATTTCACAGATATGAAGGCTACAACATACTGCACATTCAAATCTGGTATATCCCTGTTTTCATTTGGCTAAATCTGACATAGTCAAGTGCGTACAGGTACAGCTGGTTAATAGTTTAGGCTCTGCTTAACAGTTCTCTGTTCAAATGAGTTAACCTACTCCTAACATAGTAGCTCTATAGCAAAGGTCACATAGTTCTCCGTTTGCTGAATTCAGAAAACTCTAGCAGCATGAGTCAATCAACAGGAGAAAGATTTACATAAATTCTAATGCCCAGTGCATTGTTAATTTATTGCCATCAGAACCAGATCTCACAGCAATGGGCGAAATCGTCCAGATCTCCACAGTTCAACTCTCAATCCCCCGTCAAGTTCGGACAAATCCAGGAGAGATGGAGACAGAGACCTGGCTCATCGGTTCCATCGGCGCAGTCGTAGTAGCCGTCGTTGAGCCGGCTCCTCGGGAAGGAGAACGAGCCGTCTCTGCAGGCGATCACCTGCGTCGCGAAGTACGCCTCATCTGGGGAAACGACTCGGTGAGCAAGTCAAGAAACGAGGTGCGGAGGTAGGCGCGTGAGCGAGCGTCCCGTTCACCTTGGGGAGAAACGCCTACGAGCGGCGGCGCGGCGTCGGCGGCGCCGGCAAGGAGGAGGAGGCGGAGAAGGAGAGTGGCGGGAGCGGAGGAGACGACGCGACGACTCAGTCGTGGGGTCCACATCTGCCGTTGATGTGAATCTGAGAATCTCCGTCTCCGATTCGTCACTCCGGATCACAAGGAGTTAAGTTGAAAGCCTCTGCGAACTGGGTCCTAAGACTCCGTATATCCTTTCTAAATCCTTTCTAAATACGAGTAATAAAGATTTTGATGAAAAATTATTTTTTAACGGCTTATTTAAATGGTTATATAAAT